GGATTCGGTATCAATATATACCAAATGCCATTTTATTTCCTTCATTTTTATGAACGTACATTTTATTCTCAACCCCAATACACCATTAGGGCATAGGTGAGGGAGCAGATCCGGTTAATAACCTTGTGGTCAATAACTATGCATAACCCAATCAGAATCCGCCACATCAGCGCCCCTTCTCTCTCATGAAAAGCCATTAATTCCTCCCTAATCTTTAACGGACAATTTCTCACTCGTTTTAGGTTTGAATTTAATTTTTTTTGCACAATTAGATCAGATTAATTGTGCTCTTCAAAATGATATCCACTTTGATATATTTTTGTAACAAAAAATAGTCATTTTTTACCAGTCTATACCATATGGTATCGACTGGTAATGAAATAAGAGCATAATTATGGCATGAACAAACCAAGACTGCAGGATGGTTGAATACATGATAGTAGAAGTATATTAACTGTCATTTACGACTTTTAACATTGTGTTCCACAAGATACCACCCTGTACCAGAGTGGTATTGTGTGGTATTTTTTGGTCCTGTATTTTGTTCACCCAGAAATTTATAGATCCAATAGATCATGATGAACTCGTTCCTTCTGTGCAAAATTTTCGAAAACGAATTAAAAACAAAGAAGATACCATATGGTATGCAGTTGGTACCGAGAGGCACAAAAAAAATTCTAAAAAAATATTGAAAATGGATCTCATTTTGTAGAGCATAACGAACTCGTTCCATCTGTGTAAAAAAAATTGAAATTCGAGTTAAAACAAAAAAGATATGACCTGATTAAAAAAACAAGGAAAAATAAAAATGTCTTTAATTCTCCACACTTAAATCTGGATTTTCTAAATGAAGAGTACAGATTTAGTTTTTAATGGGTGCATAACTCATGATTATGCAATGTATCATGAGCCCATAGGTGATTCCAAATAGGGGGATAAACGTGAACAAAAATAGGAGTTGGTTAATTAATTACATGAATGAAGTAGCTAGAAACAAAAGTGTAGCTGTACATGAATCGAACAAAGTAAAGTCATTTCTTTTCCAGATTACGAAGCAAGAAGAATGAGCGGCTCTAGAGTTTGGAGTGAGACATATTAGAGGAGTGAGCTAGGGTTTTTTAAGTGAGCGATTAGGGTCCAAATGTATATATTTTACCCATCATTTCTTGTTCGTTTTGCTTAGTAGATCACCGTCTCTCGACCTATTTTATGCTATAGGTTGTGCTTGTTTTGTTACATTTCAGGTCCTAGCACATGTGGGAAGGTCGAGGACAAGTTTCGGGTCGATTGGAGGTTGAAAAGATCGAAAAAGTGAAAAAACGTGACCGTGAAGTGTGGAGGATCCAAACTGTTTTCCCATCTCACTAGAGTCCTGTCACTTCACGGTCACGGGACCGTGAACTTTAGCTCCAGGCTGTGAAGTGTTATAATGAGACGGCGCGTTTCTGGCCGAGATCACGGTCTAGGCTTTGAGTTCGCGGCCGTGAACTTAGACCGTGAACAGCCTTCGCGATCTGGGTATAAAAGTGAGCAGCAGAAGGAAGAAAAGGGGTAGCTGGTTTTTGGGAGAGGAATTAGTCTCTTTCTCTAGGGTTTCGACCAAAAACACTAAAGGGGAGTTATAGGGAGAGAGAGTTCTTGAGTGATCTTGGAGCTTAATTGAAGGCATTGTTCAAGATTGGAAGTAAGGAACCAAGCCTAGAAGAAGAAGATCTTGGGCTGCAATTTGTATAATCTCTCTTCTCTCTCTAGAATCTCACCCTCTTCTTTTGGGTTTAAGAACCCTAGGTCTAGATTTTGGTTTGATGTTGATGTATGTGAGAAATTCCATGTTTGATTGATGATTTTACTTAATTGATGGATGTTTTCATGAATTTCATGAGTTGGGTTTCCATTTTCAGGTTTTGAGCTTTTGATCTAGGAGGGAGAAATCCCCTTAGAGCCCATTATTGGCGTCTTTGGGTCACTCCTCATCCTATATCGTCTGGGTGATCCCCGAGGGAGTCTATTCCATCAATCTCCTACGATATAGGGTTTCCTTAGGTTGAATAGAGCACACCCCATTCATCGATTCACCCATCTCCTAACGGTAGAGTAATTGAGACAAATGAGCTAGGATAGTACTCAACATCGTTCCAATTGATGGAACTAGGGGGATTCAAACCCAAGAGAGCTCCAAACCTTGTAAATAACTAGGTTAGTGGTTAGTTTAGTTTTATTAATAACTATCCTAGGTTGGCTAGATAACGAACCCTAAATCAAAGTAGGGTAAGCATAGATACTCATAGTACGATAAATTATTATGCTACACCTGTTCGGCGGTTATGATTGGCCGTCGATCGGGATGTTGTAGTTGGAGCTAGGTTTTTTTAGTGAGAGGTGAAAGTAGTTATGGGCCAAGTATGCTTGTCAAAGAGAAGTGATGGGCTTCATTTGGGTCTCAAATTATAGGGAGGACAAACGTAGGTAGTGGGAATTATAATTAATTTTGCATTTTGATGGTTGAGACTTGATAGCAGAGGGGTGGAAAAAGTGAGTGGAAAAAATTCAAAAGTACCACTGTTTAAAAAAAATTCCAAAAATACCACCCAACCCCAAAAAATTCCAAAAATACCACCTTTTCCAAAAACTGCCACCCCACCCTGCGGTTTACACGAAAACCGCTTGTCGGGGCGCGGTTTTCTATGCAAACCGCGGGCCTAGGGGGCGGTTATAAAAAACAATCGACCAAACCGCTGGGTGGGGTGGCGGTTTGGCCCAAAACCGCCACCCCACCCAGCGGTTTGGTCCATTTTTTTTCGATCAACTCCTAACTTCGGCCGAAACTTCAAACGAACGTAACTTTGCACTCGGGTATCCGATCGTAGCGATTTTTTTTCATTTCACATAACTTTTCAAGATCTACAACTTTTACTAGGATAAAATTTTCAAAACATGAACTATTTGTGGATATACGGGACCTTGAGAATAACTTTACCTTTACTTTTCAGAAATCCATATCATTTTGAAATTATGATTATATTAAAAGTTGTAGATCTTGAAAAGATATGCGGAATAAAAAAAAAATTCATAACATGCGGAGCACAAAGTTATGGCCGCCTAAAGTTTGACGAAAGGCGAGACCCGGCGGTTTGCGGCTTGCAAGATCTCAAAAAGTTTGCGGCCTCCATTTTTTGAATCTGAATAACTTTTTGAGATCTTGCAAGCCGCAAACCGCTGGGTCCCGCCTTCGTCTCGAAAAAACGTCATTTGCCATCCTGAACGAGCATTTTTTTTATTTCGTCAAACTTTGGGCAGCCATAACTTTGTGCTCCAAAATCCGAATGTCATGAATTGTTTTTTGATTCCGTATAACTTTTCAAGATCTACAACTTTTAATATAATCATAATTTCAAAATGTACATGGATTTGTGAAAAGTAAAGGTAAAGTTATTCCCAAGGTCCCGTATATCCACAAATTGTTCCTATTTTGAAAATTTCATCCTTTTAAAAGTTGTAGATCTTGAAAAGTTATGCGAAATGAAAAAAAAATCGATACGATCGGATACCCGAGTGCAAAGTTACGTTCGTTTGAAGTTTCGACCGAAGTTAGGAGTTGATCGAAAAAAAAAAAATTGGACCAAACCGCTTGATGGGGTGGCGGTTTGTCCAATTCGGTATAATATTGATCTCAATCCCGTAATTACTAATATTGAATAACACTCGCATTTGAATCCCAATCCCAATCCTATAATAAAATACATCTATTCGGTAATATCAAATATTGAAAAATTCGGTATGGTATTCGGTATATCTCAAATACCGGTATCAAACTTCCAGCCCTAATCACAGTAATAAAGTCTCAATAATTCAAATCAAGTTTCACAACCAAAAAAGATTTCAAGTTTACTTTTTGTTTGTTGTTCCCCAATCCATACCTATTCATTGGCCAGCGAGTCCATATTTATTGTTTGCTTCAATTTATTCTAAAATGTGTTTTCTCAATTCTTATTCAGCGTCATAGATGTTACTATTCGTGGAATCTCTTACTATGATTGATTTTATCACCTGTTACTTATTTCATCAAATGAGAGTTAAGCCTCGGGTATTTTGAATTTGTGTTCCTTAGGTATTAGTTTATTCCATCTTACAATCACATGTAACCTTTCACATCGCTCCCTTAACACGAATCGCAATGAGCGGACTTCTCTACAAATAGGTGGGTGTCTGTCACTTTTTCATCACTCACCAAAACTATGGGTGGTAGATTTTAGCCTCCCCATTCCATGACACCAACCCGATTTGAGGTTCTAGTGAAGGAGACACTGAAATGGTAGTATGGACCAGGTGAAGATGGAAAGGCAAAGTATTCTAGTTTTAGAATTACTTGCTGGTTGCATTTGCTTCCAAGTCACCCTTCAAATGTTTGGTCTCTCCCTTTGCCTAAAAAGTACAATCTCTTTTTAACTTGCGGAAAAGAATGCAATAAGGGAAAAGAAAATGCAATGTATTCAAGCAAGAGGAGTTAAAAGTAAAGTTAATCAAACGAAAGAAAAATGGGAAACTGCTTGCATGCTTAAAAAGACAGTACAGCAACGCTTAAGTAAAAAGTTAATAAAACGAAAGAAAAAAATTCTGCAAAAGAGAAGCGTTTACTCATAATTTTCAGGCGGATAGATGCGTATAACGACATGCTTATTTGAAGGTTCATCATGAAATAGCATCCACAAGGGAAACACTAGGGGTTTCAGTGCGATACATAGTTTTCCAAATGGATTGATATAAACGGTTGCTTGGTTCATTTTTGTTATGTTCAAGCATTCTCAAACTATCTAGCAGAGAAATTATTGTTGTCCTTTCTCTCCACGCAGCCTTTGATCCCAAGCAAAGACCCACCAGTACTTGTGCGCCATTTTTTCAGGTCCAACTCCAACTCCATATATAAAGTCTAAACCACTGAGTAGACAATCTCCCATCACACCTCAATTAAGGAGGAAAGAAAAAAAAAATCGAAACAGCCGATGGAGTTAGTTAAACTTGCTCTGCTTACAGCATCACTCATTTCAGTACTTACCCTGATATTCCTTCCACCAGTCACCCCTCAGAACTATGCCTGCGACAAAACAAATCCTGAAACCGCACAATTGATATTCTGCGACACATCCTTGTCGTACGAGGAGAGGGTGGATGATCTAATCTCCCGGCTCACTTTACAAGAGAAAGTACAACAGCTTGGAAACCATGCAGCAGGTGTCTCCAGGCTTGGGATTCCGCAGTACGAGTGGTGGTCGGAAGCTCTACACGGTGTCTCAGACGTAGGGTACGGTGTGAAATTCAATGCCACAGTGCCAGGAGCAACCAGCTTCCCTGCTGTGATACTGTGTGCTGCTACTTTCAACGAGACACTGTGGCTAAAGATGGGGGAGGTGGTGTCTACTGAGGCTCGAGCCATGCACAATGTGGGTCAAGCAGGTCTCACATTTTGGAGTCCTAATGTGAATGTGTTTCGTGACCCCAGATGGGGCCGCGGTCAGGAGACACCGGGGGAGGATCCTCTGCTGGTTTCAAGGTATGGTGTGAATTATGTAAAGGGATTGCAGGACACTGGAGAAGGGGTGATCACTGGCGGTCATAATAGTAGGCTTAAGGTTTCAAGTTGCTGCAAGCACTATACTGCTTATGATCTTGATAACTGGAAAGGCATCGACCGGTTTCACTTTGATGCTAAGGTACATTCAATTCATGAGAACTACCGACTTATATATATAGTCGCAATTTAAGAGACGGAGGAAACAAATTGGTCATGATGTGGTTTGTATTTCAGGTTGCAAAGCAGGACCTGGAGGATACGTATCAGCCACCATTCAGAAGCTGTGTGGAAGAAGCGCATGTTAGCAGTGTCATGTGTTCTTACAATAGAGTGAACGGGATTCCGACCTGTGCTGATCCCGAATTGCTGCAAGGATTGGTGAGAGACCAATGGAAGCTTAATGGGTTCGTTAAAGTTCCTTCCTTTTTCCCCAGAAAATACGATTGTTGTTAAATTGCTTACGGTTTCTTATATGAATTTTTTTTTTCTATAGGTACATAGTTTCAGACTGTGATTCCGTTGAGGTTTACTACAACACTATTCACTACACGACCACACCAGAAGATGCAGTGGCCCTAGCATTGAAAGCTGGTATTTCTTCTTCTTCTTCTTTTTAATATAATAGTTGGTAGGCTTCTCCCTTGGCCAAAATTTCACATTTCATAAACAATTGATTTGAAACATTGTCATTCTTGTGGTACAGGCCTAAATATGAACTGTGGTGATTTCCTACCAAAGTATACAGAAAATGCTGTTAACTCAAACAAAGTAGATGAATCAACTGTAAACCAAGCGTTGACCTACAATTACATGGTACTTATGAGGCTGGGTTTCTTTGACGGCAATCCGAAATCCCTCCTTTTTGGTAACCTCGGACCGTCTGATGTATGCACAGATGATCATCAGCAACTAGCACTTAGTGCCGCTAGGCAAGGGATTGTTTTATTGGAGAATAAAGGCGCCCTCCCTTTGTCTAACGACACAATCAAGAATTTTGCGGTTATAGGACCAAATGGAAATGTCACCACCACTATGCTAAGTAACTATGCTGGCGTGCCATGTAAATTTACCACACCACTTGAAGGGCTCGCAAAGTACATCTCAAAAGTACTTACTTATGAGCCCGGTTGTGGTTCGATTAGCTGCCCTGATAGGACAGGAATTGCTGCAGCCACTAAGGCTGCTGCTACAGCAGATGTTGTACTGCTGATTGTGGGACTCGACCAGTCTATGGAGAGAGAAGGTCTAGATCGAGACAACTTGATACTACCTGGATACCAAGAACAACTCATCAATAGTGTTGCTGATGCAACAAACGGTGTTGTGGTTCTTGCAATCATGTCTGGTAGTCCAATCGATATCACGTTTGCTAAGGATGACACACGAATTAAAGCAATTTTATGGGTCGGCTATCCGGGACAGGCTGGAGGTGATGCCATTGCTCAAGTTATATTCGGAGACTATAATCCTGGTAATTAAAGCTTCCAATATTCCAAAGACCTTCCGTTTGTAATTTTGAAAAATTAAGTTTCTCAAGTTTAGGGTTCAATTTTGTTTTTGTTTTGTGACAGCCGGAAGGTCTCCATTCACATGGTACCCAAAGGAGTATGCAGAGCAGGTCTCGATGACAGACATGAGAATGAGAGCCAATGCTTCTTCCAACTTCCCTGGAAGAACCTACAGGTTCTACACTGGGAAACCAATATACGAGTTCGGGCATGGTCTCAGCTACTCAACTTTCACAAAGTCCATCGTCTCTATCCCTTCAACACTCGTTGTCCAGTTGAATTCCCCTTTGGGGCTAGAGGTCACCAATGTCCACCAACAAGATGGGCAAGCAATTGATGTCTCGATGATAAAAAATTGCGACAAGCTGCAAATCAAGATCGTGTTGGAGGTTAGAAACATAGGGACCATGGTTGGTGACCATGTGGTTTTGGTTTTTTGGAAGCCACCAAACTCAGAAGTGGTGGCAGGGGAGCCAAACAAGGAGCTGATTGGGTTCACAACAGTGGAGGTGGAGAAAGGGAATTCAAGGAATGTGAGTGTTGGGATAAACGGGTGCGAGAGGCTAAGTGTTACTGATGGTGATGGGAAGAGGAAATTGGTGACTGGGAAACATGTGATTATGATTGGATCGAGCATCGAACGACCACTAAAGCATAACATTGATGTTAAAGTGGCTGACAATGGCTATGAACATGAGATTATTGCATCAATGTGATGGGTAAGACATAACACATTGATTATTATATATGATGCATAATGAGCGTGGAAAGTTATGTATGATGTGATGATGGATTGGCTCTTTTATCCAATCATGGGTTCGGTGCAACTCAATAAATATTATGTATGATGCATAATAAGAGTGTAAAATTATGTATGATGTGATGATATATTGGCTCTTTTTATATAAACTAGAGCGGAAGCCCACGCTTCGTGCCGGAACTTTCAACTACTTTAATTAAAAGTGTATTTTAGAACAATGTGTATGTTGTCTTGTAAACTATTACAGTGATAAGAATGCAACCATTCAATAACCGATAAGTATATCCATGTAACATTATCAATTTGTAATCATAAGCGATCTCATCGATAATAAGCATTTGAACTAAAAAAATAGAACATAACTAACTCTAACTGCGTATCATGACAGACAATGAGCAAACCTAACTCTATCATAAAACTGTTACTCCCCATATGTTGTTTTGCATCTTTCTCTTCTCCCTCATCCCACACCAGTAAAACTTGCATACAACCTTACAGCCTGTTCCCAAACCTTTTGTCTCCAAGCACCCTCTTCAACTCCCTACCTTAAACTACAAACATTACATTACCTATATAATAAACTCAAGGTCAAACATGCTAGAGTCAACACCTAAAATAAATTGGACTTTGTCAACATAAAGAGTATTTTTTTTCATATGAGTCTTCAAAATGTTGACGGAACAATACATTTTAGTACCTAAAATTTTTTGTGTATTACATTTTGGTACCTAAATATTTAAAGTTCTACAAATAGGTTTAATTTTTATATATGTAATTAAAACACTCTCGAATAAATGGGTATCCATACTGTTGGTGCCAAGTTCCACGTGTCCCACCCCTTTCGATCTCGACCCTTTTGTACTCACCAGGGGCGCCCGGATCCTGCAAGGACAAGCGCCTAAAGGGCTAGGAAATGCCCGTTAGCACTCCGACGCCCAAGTCAGAACCAAGTCTAGAGAGTGAAGTATAAAGCCGAGTTTTAGTGTCATCAGCCAATCCGCATAAATGCTATCGACTGCCCCTATTTATACTCACCGAGCCCGAGGTTGATCTCCGCCACGTCACCATTCTCATTTAATGCTCTGCGCCCCCAGACAGCTAACCGCCCTGTCAGACTCCTGACACCTGACTGGCATCCCACAGCTCTGTCAGGCTCCTGACACACGACAGGCGCCCGCAGGCCGTGGTCCACCAGCCAGTTGGCCGCCACCTGGCTTTTGGTGCTCTGTGAGACAGCTAACCGCCCTGTCAGACTCCTGACACCTGACACACGACAGGCGCCCGCAGGCCGTGGTCCACCAGCCGGTTGGCCGCCACCTGGCTTTTGGTGCTTTACTCTTGAGGTTCCTTCCCTTTGTTTGGGCCCAAGGGCCACTAGTGGATATTGATTCTTACCTTTTGGGCTTTGCCCCCCAACTCCTTCTTTGGGAGCCCAATCTCCTAGCTTGCTGGGTAATACCCCCAACAATTGCCCCCCTAGTTAGGTGCTCGTGGCTTCGCCTTCGAGCGTCTGACTGAACCTCTAGTTGTAATCCGGCCTTCTCTTAGTCACAGGGCGCTTGTCACTTGGCGCATGCATTGTGTTCTCACTTCTTTCTTGGTCCTACGGGGTGCGTTTGCCTCTCCTCTTCTGCGGGCAGGCGTCCCACCTTTGGTTGTGCCCCTTGTCGAATGCTCTTCCATGTGCTTCTGTGCCTCTTGCCTGCTGAGGCGCCTCTTTCCAAATGGGGCGCCTTTTCTAACTAACCCTCCCTTTCGGGCGCTTCATGGTGTCGTTCTTGACGTGTGTCCTTATCCCTTATGCCCCCCTCACCCACGCTTTGCTTGTCGGGGAAATTTGGAGAAAAGAAAATTCGAAATTCGAAATTCGAAATTTGGGAGTTGAGAAATTTCCCCGAAAAGGAAAGTGTGGGGGAAGCTCAAAGGTCCGCCTGTGGTTTTGTGGCTCGCGAAAAGACCAAAAGGTGGGGGGAGCGGAAGGGTTCCTTCGGCATGACTGACATGTGTCATGTGGCGGGTGAGTCTTCGTTTTTCTTTAAATACCCCTCCTCCCTTGTGATGCTGTCACTTTCTTCCATTTGACCTCTCTCTAGACTTTTGCTCTGACTTCTCTCTAGCTTCCGCTCTGACCTCTGTCCTCTTTTCTTGTTTGTTCTTCGCTTCCACACATCACTTTCGTCCAAGATGTCTTCTCCACAACAAGACAAGACCTCTGCCCCCGGCGCCTCGGGCGCGGGCGCCTCTGGCGATGGTGGTGAGACAAGGCGCCCAGTTCAACGTGGTAAGTGGTCCTTTTCCCTTCGTCGATTTCGTTGAGTTTATTCTAGTCACCTAGGGTAGGGGCGTCACTTACCCCTTGTCCGCGTTGCGTCTGGGTCATTTGTTGGTTTAGAGCGGGCGTCTGCTTCCTCATCAGCTGGGCCGTCAAGTTCTTCGGCGCCTGGCTTCTTGCCCGCCGATGGGTCCTACAAGATCACATCGTGGGAGAAGTGTTTCCCACCCGATCATCTGCCCACCGAGACGTCTCACTTATCGTTCGAGGTGGCTGGGCCAAAGCGCACGTCAACAGTCACCTTGGACCGGGTTCATGAATTGGTGACCAGTCTCCAGCTTCCCAGAGACTGGTGGTATGCACCTCCATCGCCTCAGTCCCGGGTAGGCGTCTGTGGCCTGAAGTGGATCGGGATTTATCAGGAATACTTTCGCTTCGGACTACAGTTTCCCCTAGACTCGATTATGGAGGGAATCCTGACTACGTGCGCCTGCCCCCTCGGGCGCCTGTCCCCCTCAGTCATCACGGTTGTCATCCTGTTCAAGTTGAGGTGCCGAGAGCACAACGTGGAGCCCACCTTCAACTTGTTCAGATATTTCTTCAAGATGGTGCCTCTCGACAACTGCTTATCCCTCCAGAAACGCAAGAAGAAAAGCTGCCCCTATCACTTTGTGAAGAAATGTCCTAAGTTGAACCGAAGCTGGTTCAACGGGTTTTTCTTCGTGAAGGCCTATCGAGACTCCTTCTTTGCGAGTGGAGGCGCCTTTGTGAGGAAGTGGGAGTTGGGTCAGGTCGATGACTTCAACAAGCCAGTGGTTTTGACGGCGTCCGAGAAGGCTGGCGCCCCCTTGATTTGCGAGGGGGAGCCTGTTGACTTACGCCCCGCAGATAACCGTCCGCCTATTATTGAAGCTTACTATAACGATGGTGTGTAGGCGTCTAGGTGTTCTATTTCTTTGCTCCTTTGTTTGTGTGATGAACTAACTTATTTTCGTCATATGCAGGGGCGGACTACTCAAGCATTGCCAAGCTAATGAAGAGTAGGCTGGCGAGCATGGCGGCGGAGGCGGCCGCGGCAGCGGCTTCGTCACAAGAGGTGCCTGCTCATCAAGAGGCGCCCACAAGGAGAGCGAGAGATCCTTGAAGAGGGCCCGGAAAGAAATTTCCGGATTACGGCAATCTTTGGACAACTTGATGGAGTCAGAGACTGGGAAGTCCATGTGCGCCAATGCCATTCTGACCGGCATTGAAATCCTGCGAGTGAAGTTGCAGAAGGACCACCCCGACCTTACTTGGGATCTCTCGGAGATGGCCGAGTACGTGATTGGCGGGATGGAGACGCCCCGCGGGACAAGTGGGGCGCCCGAGACATCTGCTCCTACCTCTCCTCCTCCAAAGGCGCCTAGTGCCGGGGACGCGACTTCGGGCGCTGACTAGATTAGTGTTCCGCGGGTTTTAACTTCACTTTTTGTAGTGACTTTCCGCCTTTTTGTGCTTTTATAATATAAGAACCTATGTTTCCTTGCCAATTGCCTTTACTTCCACTTTAACTTTCCTTTTATTGCCAACTGGTGTGTTTGGGCGCGAAATGGGGCGCGTTTCTTGTTAGGGCGCAATATTAGGGCGCTTTTGCATAAGGTGGGCGCGGAACATGGCGCTTTACTATACGTAGTGTCGCCGGGCGCTATTTTGGGGTGCTTTGTTATGTTTTCTTAACGGCCAACTTTGTAGATAGTAATTAATCCGCTTCTGAAAAATGATGGCGCAAAATTTGGGCGCTCTACATGGACAACTTTGTAGATAGTAATTAATCCGCTTCTGAAAAATGATGGCGCAAAATTTGGGCGCTTTACATGGACCGGGCGCTAATGGGGCGCTTTACAGAATTACGGGCGCGTATAGGGCGCTTTTGGATACTCTACTATAATTTCCTAACCAAAACCAGTCCTCCCCAAGAACACCCTGCCCGTTGCCTCTACTCGCGAGAAGGCGCCTGCATTTGGGCGCCTGTATCCATGGTTGCCTCATACCTTCGTAGGTTTTGAGCATTCCAAGTTCTCTTCACTCCCTTGCCTGACATGTGCTCCAGCTTGAAAGTACCCGGGCCAACGACTTCCCGAATACGGTATGGCCCTTTCCATTTGGGTGCCAATTTTCCCTCCACAGCACTGGGGCGAAAGTCTCTTTTTAGTACCAAGGTACCTTCCGAAATGTTGTGTGCCTGCATTTTTTTGTTGTAGTACCTCGCAACCTGACCTTTCATTGCCTCCAATCGTAAAGCCGCCACTTCTCGACGCTCGTCCAATACATCCAATTCATCGACACGCGCTTGGGCGCCCCACGCGAATAACTCCCCAAACTCCCTCAGTAGTTCGATCAGAGGCGCCTTCATTACTTCAGGGGCCTGTGCCGAAATTCGCACTTGTCTCTCCGGGCGTCTTTCATCCAAGGGTACTACAAGTTCGTCGTCCAAGGCTTCCGCCCTAAGCGCCTCCTCAGGGCGGATGTCGATAGTGTTGACCCTATGTTTGAGAACGCGGCTCCTTGGGTCTTCTTCTCGGGCGTATCGTGGAACATTTCTTCCCCTGGAAATGCCTATGCCCTGGGGTGCTACAAACTTCAGCGTCTGGTGACAAGTGGACGCCACGCCATTGAATTGCGCTAATAGCGGACGACCAAGTATCACATTGTAGGGCGATGGGCAGTCCACAATCCCAAACTCTACCGCATGCGTCACACAATGTGTCTCATCTCCAAGGGTCACTGGTAGACGTACGCGTCCGATGACCTGGGCTGGCGCGCCGGAAAACCCAATCAAAACCGAACTAGAAGGACGTACCAATTCAGGCGCCAGTTGCATGCGCTCAAACGTGCTCTTGAAGAGGACATCCATAGAGCTGACAGTGTCAACTAACATCCTCTTCACTTTACATCCTGCTATCACCCCATGTATCTCCAAAGCTTCCTCTGATGGGATCTGGCACGCCTCGTCCGGCTCTTGGTTGAAGTTGATTTGCACTGCTTCCCTTGCCTCAATTGATGCGGATCTCAGGCGCCTTGACCTTTCCAACTTCTCCCTCAAGTCTACAGTGCCGGTTATGGATTCGACTGTGAGCCTGATGCGACTCGGCTTTCCCTCTTGGTCCACTTCAAACGGGGGGGGCGGCATCATCGGCTCCTGTGGGGTCCTTGGCCTTTCAGGCGCCTCATGGGTCCTTGGGGCTTCATGCATCCTTGAGTTCCTACGTACGTCCGGTGGGTCCTGTCCTCTGCCCTCCTAACGAAGTCATTGAGCATGCCCTTGTCGGCTAAATCCTGCAGTTCGGCCTTAAGTTGGTAGCAGTCGGCCGTGTAGTGCCCCTTGTCGCGATGAAAGTCACAATACCTATCAAGGTTCTTCTCATTTGGTTGGCCGCGCATGGGTCCCGGCCACCGTATGTGGTAGCCCCTATCCTTCACGTACTGTAGTACGTTTTTTAGCGTATCATTATACTCCGTAAAATTGGCTGAGCTTCTCGGCACGGGGCGAGGCGCCTCGGGTCTTCTTTGCGGACCAAAATTCCCAGACAGTACCCGGGGCGCCTGCCTTGCCTCCAATTCGTCTCCCCTCAGGCGCCTCTTTTCGGCTCTCCTCGCCGCCAACGTCTCCTCCAAAATGATTACCTTCTGCACCCTTCGGTCAAGGTCTTCTGTGGACACCACATCCCGCTTAGAAAGGACTCGGCAGAGTTCTTCGCTCGAGGTACAAGCGTCTAAGCAAACCCCCAGTACCGCTGGTTGGACATCCTTGACCGCCATGGCTACAGAGATCCATCGGTCGTAAAATTCTCTAAGCGCCTCGCCTTCTCGCTGCTTTACTTTGAACAATGCGCCTATGGTTAGTGTCCGACGCTTCCTACTTGCGAATTTGGACAAAAATAACTCCGCAAACTGCTCAAAACATTCTATGCGCCCCTCTTCGATTTGATGGTACCAATCCAATACTACGCCTGCAAACGTGGATGGGAACACCTTGCATAACGTGGCGTCTGAGCTGTTGTAAAGTTGCATCTTCGTGAAGTAGCTGTTCAAATGATCTTCCGGGTCCGCCACCCCGTCATAACTGGGTAATGGGGGAATTGTGGTTCCCGCCGGTTCCACTAGGATGCCTCGCGCCAATGGTTGCCGGACTCCGAACCGCTTGGCGATTCTTCTAGGCGCCCACAAGTCTTCCGGCTCCGCCTGGGTATGCTCAGCGGCATTTTCCAGGCGCGTGAACGCCTTGGTACGTCATGTCCTTGATCAGCTTGGTATGGGTGCCCGTGTTGCAAAGATTCTGAATCCTCCCCCATTCTTTCTCGCTTCCTCACTCCTGGGCTATGCATCATCACGTCTTCACTTCGCTCCCCATCCAACTCCCTTCTGAGCACCGCGATGGCCCGATCTTGGTCGGCTATGATTCGAAATAGCTCTCTCTTCGTCAAAGATTCCCCTTCATCCGCCGATAGGCGCCCAGGGCTCGCCTCCCCTTCCGCATCCATGTTCAACTCCCGGCTCGGTTGCTGCTCGCCTTCCTCATGACTCGAATTGTTCAACCTCGAGGCGTCTTCCCCGTCGTTCGCAACGTTCAAGTTTTCCATTCTTCTGCCCCCTTCCTGGCGCGCCAATTGTTGGTGCCAAGTTCCACGTGTCCCACCCCTTTCGATCTCGACCCTTTTGTACTCACCAGGGGCGCCCGGATCCTGCAAGGACAAGCGCCTAAAGGGCTAGGAAATGCCCGTTAGCACTCCGACGCCCAAGTCAGAACCAAGTCTAGAGAGTGAAGTATAAAGCCGAGTTTTAGTGTCATCAGCCAATCCGCATAAATGCTATCGACTGCCCCTATTTATACTCACCGAGCCCGAGGTTGATCTCCGCCACGTCACCATTCTCATTTAATGCTCTGCGCCCCCAGACAGCTAACCGCCCTGTCAGACTCCTGACACCTGACTGGCATCCCACAGCTCTGTCAGGCTCCTGACACACGACAGGCGCCCGCAGGCCGTGGTCCACCAGCCAGTTGGCCGCCACCTGGCTTTTGGTGGTCTGTGAGACAGCTAACCGCCCTGTCAGACTCCTGACACCTGACACACGACAGGCGCCCGCAGGCCGTGGTCCACCAGCCGGTTGGCCGCCACCTGGCTTTTGGTGCTTTACTCTTGAGGTTCCTTCCCTTTGTTTGGGCCCAAGGGCCACTAGTGGATATTGATTCTTACCTTTTGGGCTTTGCCCCCCAACTCCTTCTTTGGGAGCCCAATCTCCTAGCTTGCTGGGTAATACCCCCAACACATACCAAACTCATACACATTTAGATTATGAAAGTAAATATTCAAACTCTACCCAAACCCATCTACAAACTTCCAAACCCATATATATGTCACTCATACCCTACCTATAATCAATGGGTCGACTCGGGTTTAGGTAAATCTCATTTACCAGCCAAAATTTTCAGAAAAAATTAAATTGGATGTTGACCGCCATACATCTCTTCTCAGTCAATATCATATGGTCAAGTCAATATTAATAACAAAATTGCTAACAAAAAATTAATTTTAGAATAATAATACTAACAAAACACCATAACGGTCCACATAATACATGCACATAAGCCATCTCCACTCCGCGACAAGGTGCGCCATCGCCACCTAGTATAGATGAAATGAAGTGGATGTTACGTTATAAATAAACGTTTTTGATCATTTTGTTACGGGTCCTAGTCGTTGTCGTGGATCCGGCCGGCCGGACCAAGAAGAAGAGTCCAAATGCCAGGCCGAGAATTGCAAGAAATCCTAGTCTGCTGATATGCATTCGTTCGTTGCCATGTGTCGTCCGGATCTTGAATTCGTCGAAGCCAAAGAATGAAGAATCGGTTTCTCAAAGCCTGCAAATTTGTAAACTCTGTCCCCACCCACAACCAGTATAAAGGAAACCAACACCTAACTCCATGGATCCATAGTCTATCTCTCTGAAACTCACCCAATAAAAAGAAGAAAGAAAGAAAGAAAGAAAGAAAGACTAGTTGCGACTACACGACATGGCCGAGGAAAACCATCAGACGACGCCACCGGAGGAAGCGCAACCGACGCAACCTCTGCCGAGGCCGTACGGGGTGCCTAGTCTCAACAACAATACTGAGAAATTGGAGTGGCCGGAATTAGTCGGCCTGACGGCGGAGGAAGCCGAATCCAAGATCAAACAAGAGACGACCGGGGTTCGAGTCCATGTGGTCCCTCCTAATAGCTTCGTAACCATGGAACTCCGTCAGGACAGGGTTCGATTGTATGTCGACGCCGACGGCAAAGTCGCCAGAGCCCCCAAAATTGGTTGATCTATCCAATTTGAATTTCCCCTCCATCTATTAATCTCTGTATTTTCCGCTTCTACTTCTTCCTTCCCTTCAAGTATTACTCCTTTCTTTCCAAATTCTGGTCAGTAGTGACTTCGATTTGGTTTCCTGTTTGGTGTCTGAATCAATGATCGATGTGTATTAATTAATTAAGAGTTTGAATGATTACTTCAGCTTTGATTGATTGTCACCGGTGATTTCATTCTGATCCATCTTTATTCAGCTTCGAGAGAAATTGAGAAGAGAGGAAGAGTACTTGGCCGGACTCTGGGATTGACTTGTCCTTAGATCGACTCCGTCCTGTGCCAAATCAGCAAATCTCCTACTGGCTACTACTTTCCCGTCTCCGGCGTCAATTAATTGCTCTTAATTCGAAACGCCGACTTAATTCCGTCCAGTTTATGGGTGACGTTTGCATTTGGGCCTGTGAAGTAGGGCTCCCAGCCCAATTACGTCGTCTTGGGCCTGTGACGTTCGACCCGCGCGATATCGAAGCGGGCAAGCGGCAACAAACCTTTTCTTCTTCAATTCTCTCTCAGAATCGAGATCGTCCAGAGCAATTATTTTCCTTCTTCCCAAAATGACCTCGCCGGCATTGTTGTTCCTCCGCCTCCGTCGCCTTCCCTTCCTCCGTCCGATCGCCGCCCATTCTCTCTCAACAAATTCCACTTCGCAATTCCATTTCTGCGCTCCGGAGCCTCCACCACGGAGCTCTCCGGAAGTCGATTCAACTGCTGTGTTGGAGAAGCTCAGGCTTAAGGCCAATGACTGGAAAGCAGCTTTCGATTACTTCAACTCAGTCGAGATTCAGCACACGACGGAGAATTTCAATTACATGATCAGTATTCTCGGTAAGTTCTTCGAATTCGAGCTGTGCTGGAAATTAATCGAGAGAATGCCCGGTTGTGGTGCGATTCCTGATCACGCCACTTTTCGGGCGATGTTTAAGCGCTATGTATCTGCTCATCTCGTCGAAGAAGCGATCGCCGCTTACGAGAGGTCGCAGGAGTTCGATCTCCGTGACGAGACTTGCTATAGCTATCTCGTCGACGCCATGTGCGAGCATAAACACGTTAGGGAGGCTGAAGAATTCGTGTTTAAGGAGAGATTTAACGACGAAATCGCGGCAGGGATGATGAATTCGACCAAGGTTCATAATATACTGCTGCGGGGTTGGGTTAAGATGATGTGGTGGGCGAAATGTAGAGAGTTCTGGGAGGAAATGGATAGGAAAGGGGTGCGAAAGGATTTGCATTCCTATTCGATATACATGGATATAATGTGCAAGAGTGGGAAGCCGTATAAAGCTGTGAAATTGTACAAGGAGATGAAGGTGAAGGGAATAAGGTTAGATGTTGTGGCTTATAATACTGTGATTCTAGCCATTGGCAAGTCCGAGGGTGTGGATTCTGCGAAGAGGGTTTATCGCGAGATGACGGAGATGGGTTGTGAACCAAATGTTGCGACTTGCAGCACTGTGATAAAACTTTTGTGTGAGAATTCGAGGATGGAGGAAGCATTTGAGATGCTAGAGAATATGGGCAGGAAAGGTATGCAGCCGGATGTGATTACTTATCATTCTTTCTACCGGTGCCTTAGAGATCCAAAGAAAATCCTCTGGCTTTTCGATAGGATGTGTGAGGATGGGGTTCAGCCAACGATGAGTACCTTTGTGATGCTTATAAGGAAGTTTGGTAGGTGGGGGTTTCTTAGGCCGGCAACTATTGTTTGGTCGAAAATGATTGAACTCGGTTACAGTCCAGATGAGTCTGCTTACAATGCTTGGATTGATGTTTTGATTGATAAAGGGTTGCTGGATGAAGCTAGCAAGTATGATGCAGAGATGCTTGAAAAGGGGCTCTCTGCTAAGCCAAGGAAAGAGTTCGTTGGGCCTGTGAAAGGATAATCTTTGCATACACATATTAAAATGTGTTAAACTGTGCAGTAGGCATGGCAAGGAATCTCTTCTTGCAGAGAACATTTGGTAACTCAAAACCTTAAGCCAAGGGGATTTCCCTGTTTGCCCGTCGTGCCAAGCTACTCTAAGAATGTAGCTTTCTGTGAAGGTATGCCTTCAAATTTCATATTGATTCCCCCAAGTCAAATGTTTCTTTTTCTTGCTCTACTAACTTCTGAGTACGTTTCCTCTCTGATTTTCAGATGATTGGGGATTCTAATTCTAATGAGGAGTGCATATAGAGTTCAACTTTGCAGATGCATGAAAGGCGGCCTGCTAATTCTGCAAATTGCATGCACGAACAAGGGCAAACCTGATCTGTCTGGTTCAGAGAAGAGGGTTTTCCTGTGAACTCCTGGAGATAATTCTTTTTATCTCCATCCATATCTTGGTATTTCTTAGTTGAATATGTATAAAGATTAAAGATGTTCCTTCAGGAAGAGAATGGCATTCACTGTAGCATATTATCTGGGTACATCCACGTTCTACATGGTTCAACTTTAGTTCTTCAGTTAAGTACATTTTGACAGTCTTCCAAACTTGGCAGCCTCACTATTTCTCATCACATGCGGACAGAAGATGGACAATCAGCTATGCTCCATTAGGCACTCCACCCTCTGAATTTGGTCCTCTATTTCTGGCTGGTTGGTTGGGTTTCCTATCTTCAAGTCTTGGTACGGGATTTGCTTGGTGAAGTTGTATTGCTTCATAAGCTCTTATCATCTGCATGAAAGCTTAAACTTGTGACAACAGTACTTGCCAACTTGACATAGTTTTGGATGAATGGCATCTTTCTCCCAAAGAAGGTAATAAAGGAAATTGAAAAGCTCTGCTCCCAATTCCTATGGAGTGCCTTAGAGAAGAAAAAGAAGGCTAAGTCACCTGGAAGACTGTTGCTCTTCCTTGCGAGGAAGGAGGCCTAGGTTTCAAAGATCTATGCTTTTGGAACGTAGTCTGCCTAGCTAGGCACATCTGGGGGTGCTTTCAGACCTAGAGATGTTGTGGATAGCTTGGTTGAAGGAGTACAAACTCCGGAATCTTAGTATATGGGAAGTTTGAACTCGAGGTTCGTGGGTGTGGAATAAAATTCTCAAGCTAAGAGGATTATCTGAAGGGAAGCTACAACTAACAAAACAGGGGGTGGAATGGGAAGGAGAACGGATGGGAAGATTCAATATAAGCAAAGTGTGGCACTGCATTAGGCCTAGGCAGGATGTTGTAGCATGTAGGGATGGCAATGGGTCGGGTCGGGTCGGGAACGGATAGTGCATATCCGTTACCCTACCCATAGTAGTTCGGGTTTTACCCATACCCACATGTGAAACGGGTAGAAAATTAAAACCATGCCCATATCCGTTCGGGTTTCGGGTATCCGCGGTTATCCATGGGTAATGATTTTTCTTCATAACTATAACCAATATGTTAACATTCACACGTATTCTCACATTACGTAAGAAGAAAAGTACGACAATAATTCACTAGAATGAAGAAAATTAATTAAAACAACACAATTTCATGAAAATATTATATTTATATGCTAAATATAAAATATGTTAGAGAAAAAACGATTATTTCTAGACAGAATACATATGCATGTGTATACCCTACCCATTACCCGCAATATTCGGGTTCGGATTTTACCCATACCCACTAAATGTCCTTCGGGTTCGGGTTCTACCCTACCCGATTAGGCCGGATTCGGGCGGATATCCACTGTTACGGATATTTTTGCCATCCCTAGTAGCATGGGCAAAGCTAGTCTGGAAAATGGCATCCCAAAGTACTCTTTACTCACTTGGCGTATAATAATTGGTTTGGTTACCACCTTAGTCATTGTGAAAAAAATATTGTCCTGAAGTAAATACTATGTGCGCTCTGTGTGGTATAGCAGAGAAAACCAGAGAACCTATGTTCTTCTTGTGTGACTTTGTGCAGGGTATCTGGCAAACAGTCTTCCTAGTGAGCTGGAAATTCCCTCTGCAAAGTAACCTGCAACTGGCACTAGAGGCAGCAACACGTACTGGAAAATGCCATTGGGGAGAGTGTTGTGGTGCTTGTTGTGAGTGAAGTTTGGCGCGAGCGTTGCAGGAGACTTTATGAAAAGAAGACACTGATAGTGGAGGCCTTAGTTGTGAAGATGCAAGGTGTAATGGAGTATAAAGAATAGGGTGATTAGACATTTGCATATGTTGCATCCCGGGGAAAAAAATTGTGGTATAATGAACTAGGAAGTTAATATGTTTGTTAATGGCCTTCCTAGTTAGGAAAGGGGTTGTACATTGCTTGTATTGGCCTTTCTCACTGTTGGAAAACCTTATTCTGAAGTTGTCAGGTATTGTACAGGTTTTGTAGATATTGTTGTATTGATCGTATAAGATGAATAAGAGCCCATCCATTCATTGGAAAAATAGTCATAAACTACACCACAAATGCAAAAAAGCTTGTAAAGTATACCACAAATTTCTTAAAGCGTACCACAAATTCTCTGAAGTATACCAGAATTTCAAAAAACATACCACAAATTCAGTAAAGCATGCAACAAGTTCATTAAAGCAACCCAAAAGTTTATAAAAGCACACCACAAGTTTATTAAATTAGATCACAAGTTCACTGAGGCATAATAGAAATTTCATAAAGTAGACCACAATTTTATAAAAGCACACCACGATATCACTAGTGAAAGAACCCCGCTTCTAGGGATTCTAGGGGCTGATCTTCAGCACTCGTGAGATTGGGATTTAGGGTTGAGATTAGGGATTTAGATAGGAGAATTGGGGATTAGGGATTGAAGAACAGAATTGAGGTTGAGATAAAAGAATGGCCGACGGCCTTTAGAGAAGAGAGGGACGAGATTTGAGAAGGATTAGAGACTAGGGTTTGAGAGATACTTTCTGTAATATTATTCTTGACTGATTATGACGTAAACCCAAAGTACATATTTATAGGATATAAACCCAAAACCCTAACAATTAACCCTAACCCATTCGGCTATACCTAGCCGCCTAACTCTACTAATCATAACACTACTAATATATATTCCTAACATTCCACCCTCCTTGAAAGCGACCTTCTTGATCTTCCGCTTTCGTCGCTTCCAATTGCGCTCGATCACTTGAGTGAACTCTTCTTGTGCAACTCTAACTTTCCTTGTCTCTTCTCCACCCACGTGACATGTGTCACGTTCTTCATAGCCGAACGATCCACCCTCTTCCTTTTCGAAATCAACGAAATAAGAATCGGAGAATTGTTCGTTCTTGGGCTCCCCAAGTTTCTTCATGAGCTTGTTGGTTAAAATAACCCAATCTTCCCTTCCTTCACCTTGAATTTGACCCACAATTGGTTGAAAGAAAGAGCATTGGCCCAAATGAAGCCCCTTTGTATTTTTCTTCTCAATTTCGTTTGGGCTTGAATCCCTTATAAGCCCATCTTCCAACATAAGAAACTCATCCCCCTTCTTTAAAAGACAACACACAGGCGGCCCAACATCTCTTGGAGCCCAGCTAATTTCCTTCCTCTTTGCCAGCCCATAACCAAGACCCTTTTCCATATTTCCCACCACACAACTCTCTCCTCCTTGGGCTTGGACTCGGGCCACATTTGCTTGGAATAAAGATATATTCTTCTTCTCCTTATTAATTTCATGTAGGCTTGGTTCCCTTGCGAGCCTATCTACCCACTCAAGAACTTCCTCTAAGCTTGCCTTCTTCAAAACCCAGCACAAGTTGGGCTCAACTTCTTCAAATTTTGGCCCATTACTAAGCTCCTTTTCACCTTGCTTATGCTCAAATTGCAGCCCAACCGAGCATCCATCCGACCCAGCGGTCCAATCCACCTCTTTGCCCACGAACTCTAGCCCATGAAGATTGTAGGGTTGCGGATCTTGGCAGGGGAAGAAGGCATGTTGCTCGTACGATGAAGGAGCACCACCGCCAGCCCCCATCTTCTTCCCTGACGGCAGCTGTCTCGCCTCACTCTCCGGCCCCGACTCCTTGTCGGTCGTCTCCCTTGCCGGCGGCGCTCGGTCGCGTCGAAGGCCAGGCAGCCAGGCCGAATTCGCCGCCACCTTCTCCACCTTCGTAAGCTCCCGCGGCGCGATTCTCTTCTCCGGCGATTTCTCCTCCATCGACGAACCGTCTGTCGTCACCACTCGGGAATCCGTTGCCGATTGCGGAGCCAGTTGCTCGATTGGTGACGTCGGCGAGCCAATCCCTCGGCCCAGCTCTGCTTCGCGTCATCGGCCGCGGGGCTCCTTTGCCGGCCACTTCCTCTTTGGCGAACCAATTTCCCGGCGGCAAGTCAAACTTGCTCCGGGCGGTGTCGCGACGCCGAGGTTTACTGGGGCTTTTGCCAACCGCCGGCTGGACCCGCCAATGACCCTGGTTCACTTTGCTCATCTTGAGCCCTCGACTGGCTATCCCGGTGATTCGTCACGTCTGCTTCTCCTTGTCGGTCGCTTCCGACGTGAAGCTTCGTCCGCGTTTTCCTAATCTCCGAGTTCCTGGGGAACAGGTTTTTGGCCGGTCTGTTCGTTGGCGATGTCGGGACTTCTCCGCCATCCACTCCTTCTTCCAACTTCTTCTTCCTGAATTTCCAATTCTCCCCCAATTCCAGATCCGATCGAGCCTCCTTCCCGCCCGATTCTTCCTTCCTGTCCGACCTGCTTGAGGTCTCTGGTGATGCACATTGATGGTGGTCAAGGATAGAATGACGTCGATTGATGGTGAACTTGGTGGCGATTCTTCAACACGCACTGCCTCTTTAGTGGTACAGCCTTTGACAGGCGTCATAACTTCTCGTCCTCGCTCAACGCTTCGCGCCAGCTCCTCCAGGTTTGGCTGCGGTGGCTGCAGTCGTCTCGACCGGTAGCTCGTTCGCCTTCTCCTGTTTGGCGTCGGATAAAGGAACAGGTAATGGTGATGGTGTCGATGGTGTCGCAGGGGGGGCAGCTGTCCCTGCAACTGTCTTCTCGACCGCCACAGTTGGCTTGTTCGACGCGGCGGCTGCATCTTTGAGTTGAGTATTCCGCTCAACGTTCCCGGACAGCAGCGAGGGCATGGTAACCTTGTTTCTCCTCATCTCGTCCAACTTTGACTTCAAAATCCTTGTGATTTCGCTGATCAAGAGTTCTTTGAATCTCGACATGGCTCCGGTACGAGTGCCTGTAATCGGGCTCTGATACCACTGAAAGAACCCCGCTTCTAGGGATTCTAGGGGTTGATCTTCGGCACTCGTGAGATTGGGATTTAGGGTTGAGATTAGGGATTTAGATAGGAGAATTGGGGATTAGGGATTGAAGAACAGAATTGGGGTTGAGATAGAAGAATGGCCGACATCCTTTATGGAAGAGAGGGACGAGATTTGAGAAGGATTAGAGGCTAGGGTTTGAGAGATACTTTCTGTAATATTATTCTTGACTGATTATGACGTAAACCCAAAGTACATATTTATAGGATATAAACCCAAAACCCTAACAAATAACCCTAACCCATTCGGCTATACCTAGCTGCCTAACTCTACTAATCATAACACTACTAATATATATTCCTAACAACTGGTCTCTTATCCCAAGCTTTGCCTTACTCCTCCCCCTCATCTTTCAATAAACTTTCTCTTTAGATCCTCAGATCAACTCCGCTGCGGAAAATCTATCTCCCATGAGCAAGAAGATGGCGATGTACTCGTTCGCTTTCTATGTTGTATGTAGTGTCCTCCGCTATGTGGTCGACGAGGAGGTCAGGCCATGGATCTAGTTCTCCACCATGTAACCCTCTGCGTCTTTCTTCCTCCTCCCGATCGACAAACTCGCCTCCACGTGAGATTTGAGCCGGCAACAGTATTGAGCTAGTAATACAATCCTTCCTAGGGCAACACAATGGTGGTAATAATTGCTCAGTTTCAGGGAAAGGAATCGACGGTGACCAAGATAGGATTGGCAGAGACAGGGGGCTCGATGGTGGAGAGGGTGAAGAGACCAAGATCATGCAGACGAGACAAAGAAGGGGGAGGGACGGAAAAGGGAAGGGGCAGTTACCAAAATAATCTTATTAAAAGTGTTAGTAGGGTACTAACACTATAGTGTGTTATCATCCTATATGCACATATTTAACAAAAGGAAACAATAATACACTTCTTTCAAAATATCTTGAGGAGTCTTTTTATCTTTTATGAAAAATTATGAAAATATATTTGTTGTATACAATTTTCAATAAATGTATTTCAATAATAAATCATTCATAGACTGATGCTTATTTGTAAAAAAAGAAGTCAGGAGAGAAGAGAAGAAAAGTAATTCGGTTTTGCTTTCAAGGTTTGGATGAAGTTGAGAAATTGTGGTGTAATGGAATATTATTTTAACGTATAAATGTATTCATTAGTTTTGAATTTAACAAAAATCAATTATCATGCAGTAGATAATATATATCTGTTTGAAGGTCTCAATTTTTGGGTGAAAAATTTACTACTCAAGAGTCGTAAATTTTCCCCGAAATGCCCATGAATGCGTCGTTGGGATCCCTGCTTATCACAAATTATTTTTCATTTTTATTATGGGTGTGTATGCATGAGAAAATTGCTTTTTATTCCATCTGGATCGAGAAACAAATGCTTCATTACAATAATGGAGCAATAATATTGATAACTAAATTCAATCCACTGGTAATGAAACCACCCTAGTTTCGCGAGCCACCCAATCTTCAAGCTTATTCAAGCATTGAGGAATAAACTCGACCCCAGGTCCATGGTGCATATTGTAAAATGTAGGAGATTTGTACAATGATAGCCCAACATTTCAAGGCCATCGTGGAACAATCTTATTTCAACACAAGTGACAACATGTGACAATCAATATGAATGCAAATTGGGATTATCAGCAAAGACATGATCATCCATGCCGCGGTTTCAATCCCCTCTCAATTCCTCTCTCTATCTGCATTCATCAGAAAATCTAAGTCAATTATTTGGGAGTGCTCTCTTAATTGATTTGGCCCAAACCGAAATAACCAAAAACAATATCGCTAAGTGCAATTTGGTCCCCAAAAGTTATACATGGATAAATATTCCATTACCAAACGTAAGGTGGGATTTTTGTATTTTAAGCAATGTGAATTAGAGTTTAGGTTAACTAATATATTCTCGCAATGGATTCACTAAAGGTTAAGCTTGATGGCTATCGTATGTCTTTGTTCAGTGTTGTTGTCTCCTTCACTTCTGTTTCAGTAGATTTTTGGACCATTAGAAATGCAGTTACAAATTTACAATTGCAAAGCTGAACAAAGCTTTACAATTTACCATTAGAAATGCAGTTACAATTGCAAAGCTTGTTTTCAGAATCGATATATTGAGTTAAGTCATCATCTTTATTGATGTCAGTGGAGAAATAGCGTACAAGTACATTATTCATTTACAACCATGCTTTCTTGCTTGCTTGCTTGCTTTCCAAGTTGCCACCTTCACTTGAATAAATAATACACTCTGACGAGCGCATAAGCCACTATAAACATAGATAACATCCGGAAGAACTTTCGGCTTCGAGATCTACTCATTTCCCCATTCACACCGTCAACTCTATCAGCTACCGATGGATTGCCCACTTTTAGCCTCTCGAGTATGGAACCTCCGGGCCTACAAAGACATTCATAATGTGAGTTATCCAGAACTGCTCTAGACATCATTAAGGTGTAATCTTGAATATAGAGGAATTAAGTTTGGACATGCCTTGCAATGATTGGTTTAGGTGGAGTGACACCCTCTTTGCGTTTTGGTTCTTTCTGTTGTGATTGGGTTGTGATTGCTGGAGGAGGTAAGGATGGGACTGGAGATGGCACAAATTTGTGTATGGCTCCATTTGCTTCTTCTGCTTCTATATATGGCTCATCACTCAACCCAAAACTTTTCTTCACCTGCAAGGCATGGTGGGGTAACTAAGAAACCCTATTTGTCATAATAAACTTGAACTGTGCAGGGAGCTATAATTACTTGAGGTTAAAGTAACCTCACCAGTGTCCTGAAATGGAGGTTGTAAAACGTCTGAATGTATCTTTGCTTAGCAAGCTTCTCTTCTTTGTTGAACTGCCTCCAGAATCCATAGATTGACCCCATGTTTATCATCTTCTTTGCATATATGTTCCAAGTATAGCTGCAAATCCAATGCAATGCAGAGTGATTTTCTTAATGCAATTTAAACATCTTTTGGAAACATTTATGTTGCTTTACTGGAAAATTGCTAGTTCTACATTACCATTCGTTGATTCTCTTAAGACCAGAAGCTGACATTTGATTCCAATAAGCAGGATCCTCCTTGCATTGCTCGAAAAACTCGGCAATCTTGTTCCCCATGTCATCTCCGTTGTAAGGATCAATGTGGAAGCCCGAGACCCCATCGACAATTATCTCTGCAGGCCCTCCATGAATGGTTGCAAAAGTTGGCAGTCCACAGTTCATGGCCTCGATCACTGTAAGACCAAACGCCTCGTAGAATGCAGGTTGCACGAATGCTCCTTTGGTGTCTGCAATGCAACGGTAGAGCTCTCCATTTCGGTACCTATCCGTTTGAGCTGCAATCCATCTCATTTGTCCCTTCAGTTGGTACTTCTCCATCAAAGTATGCATCTTTTTAATCTCAGCCATCTCTTCTCTGTCGTTTGATTTCGATGGATCGAAAAATCCTCCAACTATGACGAGGTTGACCAAGTTCCTTAGCCTCTTGTTCTTTCCATACCACTCTGTGAGCCCTGTCACGTTCTTCACTGTGTCCAGCCTCGCCATGGAGAATATTATCGGTTTCTTCGGATCATTCAGATACCCACTGATCATTCAATCTCATAAGCATTGATTAGTTTTGTTTCAATATAGGAACATGTGAGCTATAAGAGTTTGGTAAAACTAACTTACATGTGATCATTGTTCTCATCCTTGCTGTAGAGCAGCTCTTCAATGACAGGATGGAAAGTGGTCAGCCTTCTCGACTTCTCGGTGTTTGGGAAGTAGACAGATTGATCAGCTCCAGGTGCAGCAATGTTGAACTTCGGATCGAAAACGTTGATTCCTGACACGACTCGGCATAGCCCTGGCATGGTAAAAGCGGTGTGGCTCTCATACTGTCCTGACTTTTCCTTGCTGAACAAGCGTAAAAAAGGAGCAAATTTGTTCACTTGGATTTCTTGGTATCTACATATAGATAACTTGTTGTAAAAGGAAAGAACCAACAAACCTTCCAGCAATTTCTTGGTAAGTGCTGGTGATGATGAAATCAGCTGCATTCATTGCAATCATGTCAGCTGTGAATTGGCATGAGAAATGGTACTTCGGATCGAGTTCCTTCCACTTGGCATCTGAGTCTTCATATTTCGTTTTCTCCAAAGCATGAGCAATTGTCCCCTGCAACAACAACCAGCATCATAAGGATCAAGAATCAGCAAGGGTTCAACTCAAAACTGACTAACTTGATTCGTGTTAAAGAAAGGAGTGTGATCAGACCAAAGGTATTCCAAGTTTCCTGGCCACAAGAGTGGCCACCAAGTTCCCATCACTATAGTTCCCCATGATGAGGTCTGGTCTGCCGTCTGTGTGCTCAACAATCGCCCGACCAGCATCCTGCTAATCGATATATAGGTTGATGGTCAGCAAATGGAAAGACCAGGCATGAAGAAATGGTATTAAGGAGAGCAATGCAAGTCACTTGCCTTAGCGAATCTCTCGAGGTAAGGATACACATCGAAACGAGAAAGCCAATGTGGAAAGATAGTCCCTTTACTTGTCTTGAAAGGAAGTCTGAGAATGTAAGAGTGCTTCGTGTTCTCAATTGGCTCTACTTCTTGGTTGCATTTCGTGCCTCGAGCTTCTGGTATCAGCCTTGTTATCTGAAACCACATCAGAAATGATACAATCAGCTAAAGAAATCAAGGAATGAGCTTGTTCATGATTAACCCGTCATCAGAAGTCGCAATGAAGCTCACCACAATGATCTTCGGCTTCAAGTTAAGTCCCTGCAGTTTGATCCTCTGAAGCAATTCCTCCTCCAATCCCCTCATTTGATCAAGAATGTAAACCACCTTTTAAAGAAACACACCATACTGATGTATATCAGATCATAGCTTCTCATGGAATATTGTAGAAAGAAAACTTAGCATGGTTTCTGAAAAGAGAAGAATCTTAGACCTGGCCCCCGGTGTCGGGCAACCCAAGAACATCAGCTTGACCAAAGAATCCATGTGGGGAGAAGATGACAATGTTGAACATGTTTGGAATCCTACTGAACAGCTGCTCCAATTTCTCTCCATCGGGTGCTTGAAGCGACTCGGAGAGCATCACCATCGTCTCCTTAACCCTTCCAGCCGTGTCCCCCCATCCCTTCTCGAATCCCCATGCTCTCAGGCTTTGGTGGAAATCCTGGCATGGTGTGTCTTGTGGAAGTGATGCAAGAAAGCATTCAGCTACTATCAATGCTCCTTGGAGCTTTGATGGTGTGTCCAATGTCTCATTTATCATAAGGTTCTGCACATATATATTGATGTTCAAATAATCAACCTTCTGTTCTGTTTTCCCAAATGATATGCTAGTGCTGATAATGTGCTGCTTACATCTCCATGGTAGTTGAGGCCTATTAGATAGTCTACCAACTTCTTTGAAGAGTGGGAGCTAGCAACAAGCTTTGGTGACAAGAATTTTGAGATGTACTTGACTCCATCTCCAATGGAGGATGAAAGAGTAAGGTGAGGGGAAGAGAAATCAAATGCTCCAAACTCCACTTCCAGTGCATTCTCATCTTTTGCCCTGCACACAAAAGTAGAGCATTGACAACTTTTCTTAGAGTAGAACTCGAAACAATATTTACGATGTGTGTATTTTGAGAATGCTTGTGAACAACAAATCATTCTTCAACCATGGTGGGCTCGCTGATAATACGAGAATGATAAACCACACCTTGAGTTCAAGCCTTGAGATCATAGACCATAGAGAACAGAGAGGTGTACCAATTTTCGTCGTAGATCGTTTCTTTGAACTGCAGGTATTCAGAGCTGGAGATGCCATCTACACTCAAATCATCAGCCCCGACCTTGACATACTCCCACACGCCAGGGTTAGGCCTCACCGCGAATGCAACGAAAGGTGGCACCACGGCTGCCTCCTGAGTGCAACTCAGGATGTAGCCGAGGAGCCCTTCCAACACCTTGTCTCTTTCACCCTTGTCTTGGATCGTCGCTTCCAGTTCCTCCATTATGTTCTGGTGCTTCATCAGCCTCTTCCCGCTTGCCAGAAACCTGTTTGTCACGTCATGGTTATCAAATGATGACAAGAAAGGAGTTCAAGAAAAGTCAGAACATATATCTTATTTGTGACCAGGGAGAAAGTGGTGCCAAAAAAGCTCTTTTTCCACTTCTTAGTTACCTGGAGAAACATCTCTTGGTATGGTAGCGGCTCTGTTTTAGCGCGTCGGGCATGGTCTCAGCAATGGAATCTGATCTCTTCAAAGATGGTTGCTTTGCCATTGTTGTGGATTGGCTTTGTTTCCCTCTTCTGGTTTCAGTAGAAGAAGGTAAAGGTGTCTGATATTTGAATGTGTTGTTTTGTTGAGGTTCATGCAAAGAGGGGGGTTGTGTATATATACATATGGGAGAGAAAGCCATCTGATCAAAAGAGAGAATGGTGTGTTGAGAGGTTTTGGAAAGAGTGGAAATAAAGAAAGACAGAGGAGGAAGAATGGTTAAGGCAAGGAATAAAAAAAACAGACGCAGAAATATGACTGACAGAAGCAAAAAAGACATCTTTGTCGCCATTCCATCAGAGATTGCCATGGAATTGTGTCTCCCATGTCCAAAGTGGAGGTTAAGGAATTTTGTGAAGGGAAAAGGTGCTCCCCATGTTATTTGCAAAGGCTTATATTGAGTGTTGATTGTTATACTTTTCGTACATATTATATGCCTTTCTTCTGTCCCCACTTTCCTACAAGGCTGCTATACATTGCATCATGTAAATTCAATCCTATTTTCGTTCTTCACGTATACACTTCTGAACATTTGAGGTCTAATGGGTAAATAACGATAGTGACCGAAACATGACTCGCGCAAAGCAGGTAACATTCGACATAATAAACAACTGCACCATGTAAATTCTCTATGAACATAGCACTTCAATAAACATAGCATATAAGAGACCAACAACAATATCCAATTCGGTAGTATAAACATAGCAATGCATCCGAGCGTACAATGCCCAACATAAACCAAAAGAGCACACTGCTCATTAGATCAAACCAGTAGCAAGAGCATGAGCAGGCACAAATTATCGACAATACTCTCTGCTAAAAAGTAAAATGCAACCGACTGCAAAACATCTGTTCTTCCACTCCTCAGCGCACTCACTCACTCCCCTCTCCTTAATTACCATTTGAAAAGCCACTCAACAGTAGAACATAACCTTCTTCACATTTTCCTTCAGTGCAGGCAATGGTCTGACAGACGCATTGGCACCAGGGCCACGAGTAGCCCTCCCGCCTCCTGGACCTCCACGACCAAAATCTTGAGTCCCACTGGTCATAGAGCCACTGTCTGATGACTCTGGCTCCATGTAGAAACGAGCTCTGAAGGCAGCAAGATGAGCATAGTACGCTGGTGGCACTGCAAGAGTCGGACAGACAGGAAGACATTTTTGTTACGACAATAAACTTCATGCAAAAAAGGCTTGTCATGAACATTAAAACCAATTACAGCATCAAAGGAAATAGCAGAGGAAGCAACTGACCAATAGAAACCGAACGGGTGCACCTGGCGTATCTGCACAAAATAATTCACATTAGGGTCCACAATTCACCACATCAAAATATTCCAGACCAAAAGGAATTCACAACTTACGTGTAGCACAGGTTATTTGTCAGTGACTGCAGCGCATCAGCAGAGAACTTGTTCTCATCCCACAGAACATGATAATGGGCCGGACGGCTAGTCCCCTGTTTAAAAAACTAACATTAGATGTATGGAAAATGAAACTAATAAATTCCTGTGTAGCAATTTGTATACAGTTCAACCGCAGTTATGAGCACATTAACATCACCTGAATACCAGCATGGCTGCAGAGGTAAAAATCAAACTCAGTTGGATGGCAGATTTTGGAGTCCACAACAGTACCTGTCAGACAAGATTTTTAAGAACCATGACATCGAACCTCGGGGTTTTACTGTAAACCTTCCAGGAAGATGAACAGAGGAAAAAGCATCATATTTAGTATTTACCGGGTAGTATATTCCCACTTCTGTCAACGGAATTACGATCATTATGATTGCTGGCAAACAGTCTTGTGTGATGACGCTTTTGCACCACAACAAAAGTTACTGGAGGCTGATAGTTGGGTTCTAATGAAGCACAAGCCTTCATATATGAAAAAACAGAAACTGGAGTCAGACTAACTAATCATGAGGAACCCCAACAGAGTTGAACAATGCACATACAAGATCAAGTGTATTATATAATAAGAGTACTTTCAGAGTTCTTGGAATTTACCTTCCGAATAGCATCAAGTTCATACAGCAAAACCTGATAAAACTGCCCCTCGCTAACTCCATCCCTGTAAGCAAACAGATGAATTAGCAATCTACAAAAATCTAACCACAAGATAACCAAGAGAACAAAAGACCCACCTGTAAAATATAATACGCTGTGGCTTTTGACCGGTTGCGCGGCGGAAAGATATTAGTAACTCCCTGCAGTAAAATGGACATGAAACGTTATGTAAACAATTGCACAACCATGCAATTCATATAATCATCCCAATAAAATGCATGATAAACAGACAATGCGATTAGCAATAAGGAACTTGAATCCAAGCTTTCTTGAACTATTGATTTTTAGAGGAAGGGAGAGATGGATAGGCATACTTGATCATGCCACCAGATACTGGGCCTCTGACAGGATCATTCCAGGACTTGTACAAATCCTGAATGAGTTCCTGACGATGTGCTTGAGCACAAACAAGACCTGCGTATTTAGTTATCTCTGGCCAGTCTTGAGAAGCAACAACCTACAATTTATTAGAGCAATTGAAGCAAATGTTAAGCTTAACCGCATTCAAGACAATGTATCAGGAAGAAATAAACAACATGTACATACAGCTGCAATTGAGGGGCTCGAATCCTCTCCAGGGTGAGGGTGAGTAACATCAGCGCCAAAAATGATTGTTGGTCGATCACTAACTAAAGGAATACGTCGAGAAATTGCATCAACCAAAACAGTATTTCTTCCTCCAACCTTGACATTTATCTTCAAGGCTACATTAGCCAAGTACTGCTTGCTCATTTTGTAAACATGTTTGGTCAAGCAGCACTGACTCACAAGCCCTAGATCTGTCTCACATATCCGCTTCAAGTCCCCTGTGCAATAGGAGAGACAAACTAAGTTGGACAAAAAAAATAAGGCAAAGAGTTCAACTGTTCTCATTGGATGCAAAAATTTCATACCATAAAGAGATCCATTGTTATCAGGGAGGATAACAATAAGCAGATCAAGCTCCTTCCCCACTGGCTGCAGCTTCATCATAGCATCATGGTACCTCGTTTTGAGCACCCTCTCAACTTGCTCTGGTCTACCACTGATGGGAGGAAGCACCGGCTCACTGTTAAATTGCTGCAGATAGAAACAGAATTAAAACCAGGACACCCACCCATGCCAGGAAAAGGAGGACTTTGTATAAGTCAATGACATCTTGAAAGCCCAGCACAGGAGATGAATGAACATTGTATACAAACTACTTACCATTCCAGAAGTTTGACACATCTGAGAAAGTTCATAACAAAATCCACGGGCCATACTGTCTTGGATGTGTCGAGAGAAGTTAATGCAAATCCAATTGTTCACTGTTCCACCATTGACCATTTTCTGCAACACAGGAATTCAGAGCATAGAACTCTTATCACAACCCAATGAAATGTACGAAATGAATCTCAAACAAAGAGATTATACTAAAATTCAGATTGAAGATGATTCCCACAACCCGTGCTCTCAGGATTATTTACATAAAAGATAGTGCATTCTATTCTACCAGAAGTGATGTGTATCCTTGAGAAGTCCTTGCATTTTATCCATGCATCATCTATGTCCCTGACACAGATCCTACCTCACGATTCCCTAAAGCTATGACCATTACATCCAGTAGCAGAAACCAACAAAACTGAAGAGATCAAGCGTTAAATTGGACCACATTATAGTTCATCATCAGCCTCCAGGAACATTTTGGCCTACCAATTATCAAAAGATATATCTTGTACCGCATCCAAAATGCAGTGATGCAAACTCATCCAACCATTTACCAACCCCTTATTGCCATTTGGGTAGAGCATCTATATAAGACCTTGAAAGGCAATACTAAAGTTTCCCTCAATATAATACATAAAGAGAAATAGATTGCATCTAACTATTGAGGTACTCCAAGGGAGAAAAAATACCTTCATCGACCTCATAGATGCCAAGCAGAGAGAAATGTTGTATAAAAGCTTCAATAGAAAAGGTTTCATCAGAGAAACCAAAGTCACACCATACCTTGTTCATCATGTTCCACTGTCCAACTTGGGGTAGACAATCCTTCTCTCTACCAGTGTCATGATATTTCAGCTGGAAACAACACCCATATTAAACAACTTGAGAGAGAAACACACAAAAAAACAGAAGGCCGGAGGTCAAAAAAGAAGAATACCAATGGAGCAGGCAGTATACGAGCTTCAACATTAGCAAGCCTATCACTGATCTTGATACCAAACTCCTTCGCATATTTGTCCTTGTGATAAGCATTATGACGGACAGTCTACAAAAACCAAGTTTAATTTGTTAAAATCGCAAAAAGTGAACCTTGTTCTCCGAACAAGTCTATGCAACAAAGCATAGTTAGTTACAGCCACCACATGCAAGTATTTTCAAATTCCAACCCGACACTCTATGCACTAGATCACCGTCCCACAAAGCTTAATTTTGTACCGAACCTAGTTACATAATAAAAATTACCAATATTGAGATCAATAAAATCAAGAGGGGCCATGAAAAGAGCTTCCCGTCTATAGAGTAAAAGAAAATCACATTATACTTCCCACCCAAATCAAGAGTAAGCTTGGAAATAGAATGAATAACAATAACAATAATGGAAATAACAACAAAAAGTCCTGGTTGTACAAGAAACAGGTGCTTCAAAAAGTCACTGCTACTAGAAATTGCAAGAAAATAGTGTATTAAAATTCACAAGACAAATTGGCTAGTCAACAGAATCTTAAAAGCAACTGCTAGCAAAATTACATTGCAAGTTACCTCTATAATATCATTCTCTCTTTCCTTGGGACGCTGACAGGTCACCTTTAACAAAGCAGTGATCTGTTTCTCATTCAACCTCTTTGAGTACCGCTGACCCTCCACAATCTTACAAACCTGTGTCAAGAACAGTATAAGCAAGTCTAGCAGAACTCAACATTGAACTCCATTATTACAGACATTTTTCTTACCTCCATGGGTAAATAGTTGGGCCTTTGTTGATTTCCAACTTGCAGACAGGGCCATTGAGTATGCTGAATGACGAAGCCATAAGTTTCATAGAAGTACTCCACAACAGATTTCATTGTTCCTCTTTCGTCCACAGGAAAACTAAAGACAGACAAACCAAGTAGAATATCATGACACAACACACTTTACAATTGAAGAATGTATTACATTAAGAATTTGCAATCATAGACCATAATAAACATGCAAGCAGGCACAGGTACTAACGTCAACTCTCTAGTTGCCTGTGATGTTAAACCAGATATACGGTACTTCCGTCGCATATTTCCACGGTGAGTCACTTCAACCTTCACACCTCTCAAAGCCTTTTTAATCTGCAAAAAATAATAGGAACAGTTGGGGATCTCATTCAGCAACTATAACAGCCCTCATGTACAATGCTGCCACAATTTCAAGCATACACAGCCTCCACAAATTAAGGATAGAAGGTTAAAGAGAAGAACATTAATGGACTACAACAATTAAAAACACCAACCTTCACACGGTCAGCATCTGATAATGGCCTAGAGGAGACGTCACGATTCAACAGTTGAGTCACAAATTCAATAACCGGCAGTGGCTCAATGAATGCAGTGGAAGACATATCTAAGGTAAGAGGAAGTCAAAGTGGATGTTAGAGCACATAATTGGCAAACATGGGCACAAAGGGTTAAATCCAGCATGCAAAGAGTTACATACCAATATTCAGTGACAGTCCCATTTGAGTGGGCCGAATACTTTGATAAAAACCACGCCAGCTCTCCAAACCTTCACCAAGAGGCTGCCTTCTTCCAATATCAGGATGATAAAACGATCGCCCAACTGGGGTGTAACTACAAGACAATGTCACTCAGCATACTATACCATAAAGAGAAAAATTAGTAATGGAAAGATATTAACAGAGAACAGTAAGATGAACTAATCTTACTTCACATTGGGCAACTCGCGCAGGACAATGTCAAGAACTTGGAGCGCTTCCTGCGGTGCATCAGCTTGCTTTCCCTGTAGAAAGAGACCCAAATGGTGCAGGTCCGCCCGTGCTGCCAACTTTATTACCACTTTGAACTCCCTCTCTCTCCTGCATGAAAATATGAGACATTAGTAATTGAGGGGAGTGGAGGAAATAGACAAAGATCACACAGTAACTAAATTACACCTTTGACCGCCTGTTCCATCATCTTCATCAATCAGGGTGATACGGAATTCTTTTGATGTGAAAGGAAGGGGCCCAGCAGTGTACAAACTCTTCCGTCCATCATAAGCAGGAAGACGCTCTCCTAGATGTGAATATCGGTACAATGTGACCAACTGGTTCATGACAGCACGATTGACACCTCTCGAAGTAACCTCAGGAGTAATGGTGACCTATTCACAAGACATCTAGTTTACCAGGGGCAGTAAAGAGCGGTAAAGAACACCACAAAATAAAATACAACATCAGAAACTCACATCATATTGGTGCAAATCCTTGTCAGGAAGCTCCGCAAAGAAATGATTAGCTTTCACAACACATCTTGAGCCCACAGTACCCTTGCCAGGGCGAATGGGAAATCTGACAGACTTGCTTGAGGCAGGAGGTGCAGCCTGAATAGCCTGGCCAGATGATTCTTCTTGAATTGTTAGTTGCTGAACCTGCTGTGATATTGCTGCTGTTGAAGGGTCAGGAGGCTGAGATGAGCTAGCCTCTGTATGTCTGGGCTGAGGGCTCAACCCAACTTGAAAAGGTGGTGGGGTTGCTTGGGGCAGATCGGGAACTTGTGATCTAGATGGTCCACTGTAGGGAGGTCCTCCTTCACGGCCACCATTCCGACCACCACCATAACCTCGACCACCTTGCTGGGGTGGCCCTCCTCTTCCCCTACCTTGATACTCTCCAGACCCTCCATAATATGGATTGTTCTGGGGAGCACCACGGCCTCGACCGCCATAACCACCTCCACGTCCACCTTGCTGCTGATACGGAGGCCCTCCACCACGACCACCTTGGGAACCAGCGCCACGACCACCTAGGTAACCAGCACCACGACCACCTTGGGAACCTCCACCTCGACCACCTTGCTGAGGTGGACCACTCCTCTCAGATGACTGCTGCTCTGGGCCATGATCAGATCCAGGTGAGGACTCTGAGCCTTCACCGCCACCTGGATGATCAGTTCTCCTCTTCCTCACCATTTCAATTTTCAAAACCTGTACAAAAACCTTTCAAAGTCAGTAATGCAATTATACCCACAAAAATGGACTACAAGAGATCACCATTCAGGCGGACCAGAAAAACTTATCTACTACCAGAAGTTTACACCATTCAGACGGATCATAAACTAAGCTAATAATGCACACTCAAACTCACACTTGTTAAGACTACAAACGCTCACCATTCAAACGCAGCAGATCATGAAACTAATAACACCCACCAGAACTCTCACTTAAGAACCTATCCACAGCATCACGGTGGAGAAAGAAAATAACAGTAGTAGGAACAGTTTCAAGAACAAAATCCTTCGTTCTCACCACAACGCCTTCCAAAAACTGAATGACAACCACAGGTTTTCAGCATTCAGACAGCAGATAATAGAAACCCCCAACTGACCTCTCACTTCTCAAGACACCCATCCCCAACCTCACATGGTAAAAGGAAAACACCAGAAGCAGAAACAACTTTAAGAACAAAATCCTTCGTCTTGGTTACTACACCCCCCCCCCCCCCCCCCCTAAAATGAGGCCATTCTCAGCTTCGGAACCCATCAAACGTAACACCCACAGAGTAGAACACACAGATTTACACCGAATGAAAGAAATAGCGTACAGAAACACATACCGTCGGACCCAACACTCAGGCGAACAAACCGGGAAATCAGTGACCAAACCCAAGAAACAACAACAGTTTCATGGCCATTCTTGGCCTCCGAACCCATCAAACGTCAGCAATCTAAATAATAGAAACAGAAATATTGACACGGACTGAAGGAAACAATCACAGAAGCTCACAGCAGAAAATGAAAATCGTTCTCCCAAAGACACAGCCAACTCACAGGCAAACCAAAATGGGTAAGCAGTGACCACCAAACCCACGAGGAAGCAAACAGTATCAAGCTCCCATTTCAGCGTCAGCCAACCCCTAACTGCAACGAGACGGTTATCGGTCAAAACCCTAGAAGCTTCAAACCACAGGCACTACACAAGATCCCCTAAGAAACTCCGAGAACAATCAACAAACACTGAACACTACACCTACCACTACAAACCTCGAAGGCCGAAAACAAAACGGCCAGAACCACCGAAACGGCTCTCAACTCTCCCCCGGAATTCCAAACCCAAAATGGCGCTAAACAAGCAAAATCGACACAGTGTAACTACCACCACAACTTCAAAACGAAGAAGAAAAAAAAAAACGCAGATCCATCCAACAAAGCACACGAGGAACTCATCGACTACCAGCAACGAAGCAGGAAACAAAAGCAGACACACAGCAGAAACGAAGAGCCTCTCGGCCTTGACCCCCGAAACTAACCTCAACGAAGAAAAACCCAGTCACAGTCCCCGCCGACGAACAGTGAATTTCAGAGAGAAATCGACACACACACTCACCGAGCCTTTCCCGGAAGACGAACAACGAGAGAGAGAGAGAGAGAGAGAGAGGAATGGGGGAAGAAGAAAAGGTTGAGGGAATGAGAAAACCGAAAAGCCTCGGCTGCCTTCTCCCACTGATCTAGTTATATGTGAGAGAATTTCAAGGAAAATTGAAAATAAAAGGTCACTTAACTTATAAACGAAGGTGAGGGCAAATACCAACAAGGGTGTGACTTGTGAGTGAGCGAAGACGAAGGGTAGGTGCTGGAAAATGACGACTCTGTCCCTCTGCTCCCTCTCGAATTCTCTCTCCTAAAAATTAGAAGGTGGTTTGATTAATCGTTTCCCAGGCAAGACAAATTAATTAGATGGATGGATATGGAAGTGTTGTTTAATAATACAATTTATTAAATATTAGAGAATATTTTAGTGCACTTGGACTGTAATTACAATGATGATGATCATTAAGTAACAAATACAATGAAAAATTGGTGATTACAATGATGATGATCATTAAGTAACAAATACAATGATAAATAGGCTATTTTTCATAATTTACTGTTATTTATCCAATTAAAGGGAGGATTTTTGTTGCTATTTATCAAAAAAATATGTTGCTCGATTGAATAAAATTCTTGAATGAATAATGTTGAAAAACATGCTATAATAAAAATGGGATATGGAATTAGGAATAGGTTATAGGGATAACTTCAAATAAAGAGAACCAAACGCACCCATAACAAATATCAAATGCATCGTAGTAGTGTTCTTCCCGATAAATACACCTAGAAGATACTTGACACGTGGATATGAATGGCGTGGGTTTCATGAGTATTTTTCTACCTTTTTATCACAACTTTTTACATACTTGAACCAATTACGATAAAGGCTTTCAAAAATATATAATGGCACAGAGTTTGTATGAAACCGAAAAACACATGTTTTCGAACACACGTAAAAATACCGATATGACCATTAGTAAAATTGTTGAAATGACAATTATCGAAGATATGCTAGTATATGTCAACTAAAAAGAGTTAACGATCAGAGTGAGGTCTTTACAAATTTCAACTGTCGAATGTGTCATCCCCTATGGTGGTGCAGTTCTCATGACCAACATGACCAATTGACTGTTCATTGTGAGGTTGTGATGGTATTGTTATTCACTCACTCAAGCATGATTTCCACTCTTGCAAATCATCACATCATATTGAAAACATGACGATTTATATGTGTTCAGGTACTACACGTTCGCGGCATGGTTGTTGCACACCCATCTACTTCTCTATCACGAATCATGATGAGATGACATGGTGATTTTCCTAATCATCCAACCATATGAACAACACGAGTATTTCCATGTGTTATCTTACACTTTCACGGCATAGTTGTTACACGTCCATCTACCCCTCTTACATGATGATGATGACATATTGACATGGCAATATTTCCCATCAATAGTTAGTTTCATCGCATATCAAGACAAACATTTGGCACATTTGGCACCCAAACATTGTTCTAGTTCCAACGGATGTGTTCCTCTATGAATGGGAAACTGAAAAACAAAAGGCAACGAGACATGCAAGCATAAAAATAGAGAAGAATATAAACAAAAAGTGACATGCTCAAAGAATAGCAATTAAACCACGGAGTACTGTGAGTAAAGAAGACTTGCTGATGGTTTCTTTAAGCTCTTTGAGAAATTTTCTCACGACCGCGACCTCAATATTGGAGCAGAAATACAAAAGAATGCATGCACTGACGTCATATACATATGCATATCTCAATTTGTTGGTAGTAGCTATTCCAAAGAATGTCAACCGGGGGACACCATTAACACATGATCCGTCACGATGAATCTCACCTACAACGGAACTAAACCAGCAGTTCGTGGTGAGGGTTGAGAAGGAAAACTGTCGCGATACCAACTATTATGGAAATTGTTCACGCATACTAATTTTTCCAACACAAGTAACAAACAAGATCATGAAAATCAACACAAAAACATGTATAAGTTCATGGAATTATGGAATCGCCACGCCTTCACACATCTTACCAACGTGGTACTTCAAGAGTTTCTCTTGGCTCTTTTCCCTTTCATGTTCATTAACACCATTCAAAATCTCAACACCAACTTTTACGGAATCGATATAACTTCAACTACGATTAGTTTAACACGGATATTAATTTTATTGATATCAACAAACTTTTCATAACTTATGGTAATGCCTTCACTCCTTGTGCATCATGCACTGCAGCCATAACCCTAACCGAGGGAAGTAAAGGGGGAAGATGGAAGAAGAATGACCAATACTGCAACTTTTGCCTGGCAAATACCTGAATTTTTTTGGTGGATTGCTCGATGGGAATTCGCCAGCACAGCACAAACGGACGAGATCTTTTACCATGGAGGTAGAGATTTTTTTGGTTATGTTGGAGAGAGAGAAAATTTTGATAGGGTTCGATATGGAAATGTGGATTTTAAATTATTAAGGTACTATATGATACTTAACTCTCTGTGATGTCCTTACAAGTTATGAGGAGCGCATAGATGTGTGAATTTTAATGACTATTTGTTTGCAACTTTATAAATTTTCAGAGTTTATGATTTTCAATTTGGGATTTGGTTATTTATTGGCCAAACATTATGTTTCTTCTGACAATTGCATCTTAGTAGCTAAACTTTTTTTATTACAATTTCATATCCGATGTTTGATTTTGTTTATAAATATGTCCAAAGCTTTTGATTCATTAGGTGCTTTTCAGGGTCTCGAACTTTTTACTTGCGTTATAATATCATAACTTTAAAACTTTACAAACAATTCTTTTTAGTGCATCATATACTATTTTTGTAATTCACAAATAGTACATTAAATGTGTATTTGAGATTCACCTCATGTATTTTTGTCAAATACCAAATTGAAATCCTCACATCCAATACATACATCCTATTATGATTTATAATTGGGATTTTATAACCATATATTATGAGCTTTGAGTACGGGTGGTTATAAATAATGTCTGGTTCGGTTAAATTGGACCGAATTGATCCGATCTCAGTCCGAATTTTTCGGGAATATGAGGACCAAAGACGGGATTGGATACAATCTGGTCTTGATCCGGTCCGGTACCGATTCTGTCTTGATTTTAGATTGAGCTGTGTGGGGATTTGAGTGGCATGAGGCCTGGAAGGGTGATGAGTTTGTTAAGTTTTGGGTGCTGGACTCTCTTATCCGGTCTTTATCTGGTTTTCGGTTAGGTCCCGAACAATTTTTTTACCTCAAATCTAAACCCGAAGATGAGATTGGATTGTTTGCTATCTGGTCTCGCTCCGGTCTCGATCTGGATTATACAATTCGATTTCAGGTAAAACCATAAACCCGATCCAAATAGTCACCCCTAGCTTTGAGAAATGAGAATCAACAACATTTTTTTAATAGAATATTTGCAACTGCAAATACTCCTCTCGCAGTATACATGCAGGCAACATAAACTTGCCAAATCATTACAATCATCTTTTGTTAACAATCACCTACTACCAAAGGTAAGATGGCCTAATGGTAAAGCTGTCGCAACAGTGAAGGTTTGAGAGTTGCAGATCCCAGGTTCGAATCCAAACCCCGTTGGCGTCGAATTTGATTGCAGGTGGCCCCCAGATTTAGTAGGACCCGCTTTCACAAAGTGGCACGTGGAGCTGAGGTTCCTGGATAATAAAAAAAATCACCTACTACTCCTGCAAAATTATATGGGTTCGTTTGGATAAGGGTTGGGGCAGGATTGTGATACAATCCCTCACCATTCCCGGACTTTAAAAGAATAACTTGTTTGGATAGCCTCTAGAATTTGAGATTAGAGATTTTAAAAATCTTTAATCGTGGGTTTTCAAAATAGCTGATGGGCACCAGCTATTTCTAAATCTCTCGTTTTAACTTTTCAGTTTCCAAATGTAACCATTTCTTCTTCCTTTGCATGTTCGCCCTCAAGCCCCAGAGCTCACACCAATCGTACTGTCTGTTTGCAGATCCCTCAGCCTTTCAATCCCTCCCCAAAATCGTCACGACCCTAAACTCCACAGCCTTTCCCATAATCATCCCGTCCCTCACGCTGATCATCATATTCGTTGGAGCTGGAGCCGGATGCTGACAACATCATCACCATCCTTCTCTACTCCGCCGCCGGCAACAACATTGCCATCCTCCTCTACTTGTCGTTGCTGGAGCTAGTCGTCTCTTGCAACAAACATAGATCCTCGACTTCGCCATCACCGACAACAGATTTGTCACGGAGAAGCTCTCCCTCGATCATAATTCCACTGGAGCCTTGACCTTTTTCTTGTATGTTTGGAAAGGGTGTTTGGTTTTCTATTTGGGATTAGGAGAAGAGTTCTATAAATACTCTTCACCACCCTTATCTGTAGTAAGGTCAGTCAGGTTAGTTTGTTTGGTTTGTGCGTCCGGAATTTGTTTTGTAACCTGTACTCTCCTCAAATTAGTGAAATTTGTCCCCCCTGCCCGTGGATTAGCTAGCACACATTGTGTTAGTGAACCACGTTAAATTTGTATTTGTTTGTGTTGATATGAATTGTCGTTTGCACGCTTATGTTCTGACAAGTGGTATGAGAGCCTGATTCGGATCCAGGGCGGTGGACGTCAGTACGGTGGACCCTCGTTCGGTGGCCTCGGGATTTGAGATCTGAGTCTGGTTCGGCGGATCCACGAGCGTT